TTTAGAATAGAAGAAATTAATTAGTGTTTATTTTGCTCTTTTACTAGTAAATACAAAGTAATAAAAGATTTTAATAAGGATATTTTAGGGTAAAGAGTTATTGAGTCTGTTTATCTTAATTTAATTTTTACTTAAAGTCTTTGGTGCTTTTTATGATGAATACTATGTTAACATTTGAAGGAATATTGCAGCAAATTATCTTTAGATTTGATAACTTACTTTTTCACAAAAATAAAATATAGTTAATGTAATTTACAGCTTTATTTTATGAGAAAAAATGATGTTATTTTTAATTTTTATCAAAACCAAAAGTACTGGGTAATGCAGTAGCAGTACCACTTTTTAAGACAGTAATGCAGTACCAGTAACAGTAGTAGCAAAATTTTGTAAGAGTAAATTCAGTATCAGTACCAGTACTTGCAAAATCGCTGCAGTACGTACTGCAGTACCAGTACCAGTACCAGTAATGCAGCTCTGCCAACAATATGTACTATGACTTAATATGTCTCCCAATATGTTAGGGAGACATATTGTTTTTGCCTCGCCATCTGTCTGTCCATCTCAACACATTCAGCTTGTCCAACTTTCACAGGTTAAACTGCTGGCCGGATTTCAATGAAACTTCACAGGAGTCATCAATACCATCCCTAGTTGTGCATATTGCCTACATGTTCTTTGCTGCACAAAATGGCCACCAGTGCTATAAATTGAAAAATCTTGGCCGCCTTTCACAGGTCAAGCTGCTTGTTGGATTTCAATGAAACTTTACAGAAGTGATCAGTACCATCCCTAGTTGTGCATTTCACAAAGCACATTCCGCTTCGCTGCACAAAATGGCCACCAGAGCTATAATAAGAAAAATACCTAGTCTGACTTTCACAGGTCAAACTGCATGTGGGATTTCATTGAAACTTCATAGAACTGATTTGAACAATCCCTAGTGCCATATTACCAGCACATTCTGCTTTGCTGCACAAAATGGTGGCGAGGGCTATAGATAAAAATTTTTTTTCCAGCTTTCACAGTTTGAACTGCATGTGGAATTTTAATTAAACTACACATGGTCTTTGGGTACTGCTGGTGATATTATAGTTAGTGGAGACAATGCAGGTGATATGACAGTTAGTGGGGACAATGCTGGTGATATTATAGGTAGTGGGGATTTTGCTTGTGATAATATAGTTAGTGGAGACAATGCAGGTGATATGACAGTAAGTGGGGACAATGCTGGTGATATTATAGTTAGTGGGGGTTATGCTTGTGATAATATAGTTAGTAGGGACAATGCTGGTGATATTATATTTATATGGGACATTATGCTGGTGATATCATAGTTAGTCTTGGCCTTATGCTGGTGATATTATAGTTGGACATTGGATGATTTCCAACACTGAAAAGCAGTTGTTTCTGGTGAGTGACTTAGGGCTATCATGGTCCTCTTGTTTTAATTTCAGTGACATTGACCTTGATCATAGGTAGTCCAAATGCAATACCAATTGGGGTCTTCATATAAGCTTTCTATACACCAAGTTTGATTACAAAATCTCATTCCTAACTAGTTATTGTTTGGAAACAATTTTTCCTTTTTAAGTAATGGTGACCTTGACCCCAGAGGTCCAAATGCAATACCAACTGGGGTCTTCATATAAGCTTGCTATACACCAAGTTTGATTGTAAAATCTCATTCCTAACTAGTTATTGTTTGGAAACAATTTTTCCTTTTTTAGTAATGGTGACCTTGACCCCAGAGGTCCAAATGCAATACCAACTGGGGTCTTCATATAAGCTTGCAAAACACCAAGTTTGATTACAAGATCTCATTCTTAACTCTAGTTATTGCCTGGAAACTATTTTTCTATTTTTCATAATGGTGACCTTTATCTTGACCCCAGGGGGTCCAAATGCAATATCACCAGGGGTCTTCATTTAAGCTTGTTATACACCAAGTTTGATTACAAAATCTCCATCCTTATTCTAGTATTTGTCCGGAAACCATTTTTAGCTCAACTTTTTAAAAAAAAAAGTAGAGATAGTTAGTGGTGACATTGCAGGTGATATGAGAGTTAATGGGGACAATCCTTGTGAAATCATAGTTATTGGGGCAATGCTAGCGATATCATTGGGGTGACAATGTTGGTGATATTATAATTAGTGGGGACATGATGATATTACGGATATAAGTACTAGTAACATGAAAGGTTATTGATGACAATGCTGGTAATCAAAATGCTTGTGATGTAATTGTTGAGGATGACAATGCTGGTGATATTATGGTTTAAGTGGGGACAGTGCTGTTGATGACAATTCTGGTGATACATGTATTATCGTTAATGGGGACAGTGCTGTTGATGACAATGCTGGTGATATTATGGTTTAAGTGGGCATGACAATGCTGGTGGTGAATATGTGGATTATGATAGAGTTATAATTTTTTCCATAGCTGTTTATATGGGTGCTGAGAATGGTAAAGGTGGTGATATGAGTACTCAGAATAGCAATGTTGATGTAATGATGGCTCATGGGGACAATGATGTTTATATAACAGCTGAGGAGGATAATGATGGCGATTAAAATGTTGTCCATTAATTTGAAGGTGAAATTAAGGTTTTTGCTATGAATGCTGGTGACATATGAGTGCTGACAAGTGAAAAAGTAATAAGTTTATGTAATATAAGAAAAGTTAGTAAATGGATAAAAAATTAAATGCAAAAGGTTAGAATGACTATCAGATATTATCGAAGTATGATGAATTACTATAATAGGAATATGGGCAAAAATTATGTTAAAAAGAACTGACAAAATTTGAGTAAAGCAGATTATGACAAAAGGATATGAGCAAAGCTACAGATACAAGTGCCATGCTGAGTTTTTTTTTTAAATTGAAAAATTGAATCAAAAGTTTTTCTTTGTTTTTTTGGCAGCTTGGAGAGATCTCTTTAGTTTGTGCAAAAAGTTCATAAACATGGATTATACTTAAAACCCTGACTACATAAATATAGTTGAAAATATATTAAGTGAATATCTGAGAGGTGAACATTTCTTTTTTATCTTATTTAGCTCACTTGAGCTTGCTCAGGGTGAGCTTTTAGGATCGTTGAATCCACATTTGTTATTTAACAGTCTCTAGCGGTCACATTTTTGCATCATGAAACTGGAAATTGGTCTGAAAGTTTGTTTTGATGATTTCTAGGTCAAGTTCGAATATAGGTCACCTGGGATCAAAAACTAGGTCACACCGCCCAATTATGGAAACACCTTGAAAACTCTCTAGGTGTCACAATTTTTTGACTGATTATTGTCATCAAACTTGGTCAGGATGCTTGTCTACGTAATTGTTGGATTAGTTATAACATGGGTCATCTCTGATGAAAAACTAGGTCACAAGAGCTAAAAATATAAAAATCTTGTTAGCACTCAACAGTGCCTATTGTTGTTATCTAAATATCCTGAAAATTGGTCTGAAAGTTTGTTTTAATGACTTATAGGTCAAGTTGGAATATAGGTCACATGGGGAAAAAAGCTAGGTCACACTGCCCAAATATGGAATTACCTTGTTAACACTCTAAAGGTCACATTTTCAACTCAATTGTCATTAAACTTGATCAGGATGCTTGTCTAAGTAATTGGTCGGATGAGTTTGATGGGTCAGGTTTAGTGATCTAGGGCCATCTTGGCCCTCCCTGGGGAGCATATAGCTGTCGGGTTGTCCGTCTGTCTGTATGTACGTCCACTTCTTGTCTGGCCCATAACTTTGTTATTTGAAGTCCCATTTTAAAACTATTTCACAGAAATGATCACCATATTGAGACGATGTGTCATGCGCAACACATGGGTCGCAACCTTGAAGGTCAAGGTCACAGCATGACCTTGCAGCAACATCGTGTCCGGTCCATAACTTCATTATTTCAAGTAGGATTTTAAAACTATTTCACAGAAATGATCACCATATTAAGACAACTAGTCGCGCGCAATATTTGGATCTCTACCTTGAAGGTCAAGGTCACAGCATGAGCCTGAAGCAAAATCATGTCTGGCCCATAACTTCGTTATTTGAAGTCAGATTTTAAAACTATTACACAGAAATGATCACCATATTGGGACGACGTGTCGTGATCAAAATTTGGGTCGTTACCTTGAAGGTCAAGGTCACATCATGACTTTGCAGCAAAATTGTGTCTGGCCCATAGCTTCTTTATTTGAAGTCTGATTTTAAAACTATTACACAGAAATGATCACCATATTGAGATGACGTGTCACAAGCAACATTTGGGTCGCTACCTTGAAGGTCAAGGTCACAGCATGACCTTGCAGCAAAATTGTGTCTCGCCCATAACTTCATTATTTTAATCGGATTTTAAAACTATTTCACAGAAATGATCACCATACTGAGACGATGTGTCGTGCGCAACATTTGGGTTGCTACCTTGAAGGTAAAGGCCACAGCATGACCTTGCAGCAAAATTGTGTCAAGCCCATATTTTGGCTTGCAGCAAAATCTTGTCCGGCCCATAACTTCGTTACTTTATGTCAGATTTAACAAGTCAGATTTAACAACTATTTCACAGAGATGATCTCCATATTTGAATTGCCGTGTTGCATGCAACATTTTGGTCGCTACCTTGAAGGTCATATTGAGACAAAGTGTCGTGCACAACATTTGGGTTGTTTTAACACTTTGAACTTTGTCTGTCACATAACTCTGACACTACAAGAGGTATACCTTCCTGTGTCCAAAACCTATGAGGGGAGCATCACCAGTCAACCGGTTCTTGTTTCATAGTTTTCAATATTGTTTTTTCTTTGGCATTTAAAGAGCTTTAATAATCAGTTGAATGAAGTAAAGGCTATGATGGCCCTTTGACCGAATATTTATAATAAATTAATAGATATTATTCCTTTTTTAGACAGACAGCACTTTACTTAAAATCTGTAGAACTTAGTTAGTAGTGGCTCTTTGTTGCTTGTGGTAGTTAGTTATAATGTTATATATATATTTTCAGCTTTGACATGGCAACTAGAAATGTAGATAATGCACTTCTAGTACAAGAAAATGCAGATATTAAGGATGAGCAGCCCAATGTTGACTTGAAGAGACAGTTTGCAGGAGATGAAAAATGCTTAAAAATAGTTAAAGAGCAGGAAGGATCCAGAGAGCAAGTTGATGGAAAGAGTGACAAACACTCACATACTCCTATTACACAGGATGAACAAGACACAGAATTGAGAATTCTTGAAGCTGTAACATTGCATGAAAATGACACAGCATCTAATATAGATAAAGAAAACACTGGCAATAACGTTGATGATTGTGCATATAGTCAGGAGCAAACAATCATTAATGCTGAAAGTGAAAACAGTGGTAAAGCAGTGGAAAATGTGAATGAAATAGGTAATGAACATGTTGAAAAATGTATAGAGTCTGAATCTGATGAAGAGCTTGCTGAAATTAAAGACCAATCTTCAACAGGAAAATCAGGTATTCCTTGCGTGCTTGAACAAACTGGTGGTAGTGAATATGGATCTGACTGTCTAGAGAATGAGATTGTCAGTCATATCAAAATACTTAATGAGAATGATGCTGTTAAAGATAGTACATGTGAAGAAATGACTGAAGAAAAGATTGATGCAGAAGTTAGAAAATTTGAGGAAAAGGTTAGTGAGGTAAAGATAATCAATGCTGACAGTAAATCTGAGATGGGCAGATTTAATGCTTGCTGTCAAAATGGAGAAATTGACAAAGTAGAGGGAGAAAAGAGCGCTGTTGGCAAAGATGATCCAGCTGAAGTAAATTCAAAATTGTGTGAAAAAGCAGAAAGATTCGTAAACAGTTTTGTTCAGAGAGTAAAAGTTGCATATAAACTCTACAGAGGATGTACAGAGAACTTTTTCTTTCAGACTGTCTTTGTACTCACCATTGTATTCCAGCGCAATAATCCAGAGTTCTTTCACTTTGGAAATCCCATCTTGAACCAGTTCCATGCAGATTTGAATCAAACACCTCACAATGGTTTCCAAGAAAACAGTGTTTTCCCTGTTCTTGGAAACAGCTCAGCACCTCAGGCAATAAGTATATATCTTCCAGAACCTAATCTTCCAATGAGAACGGACATTGTAAGGTCCGTAAACATTGATACATTAGGTATTACCTTTAGGCCAGATTTTGAAAATACAGCAAACTCTGGAAGCATGGACAGGTCACAGCCCAGAGTGGACAGCTCTCAGTATTTACAGCATACTGGTACAGGCAGTGGTGGTCATCAAAGCAATGATGAAGTGCAGAGATCTTCAGAGTTCATCAGTATTTCAAGTTTACCAATGACAGCCACTGTTAGAGAAGGCGAGAATGATTCCAGACAAGTTCAAAGATGCACACAAATAAATGATGTTCCAGCACTCCCTGTTCCTAACCAGCTGAGCTTAGATGAGGGCAGCACAAATAGGAAGGTAAAGTTCAGAATACCAAATTTCTTCAAATATTTGTTGACTTCTTATATTCACAACAGCAGAATTAAGTGCTGTGAGACAGTTTTACAAAGTTTCCCAGTACTTCATCTTAGTGTTGTTTTTATCTCACCTGACCTCGTTCATACCGTGTGAGTATAGAATAGAATCATCAACTGGACTGTTCTGCTCAAAACATTCAGTACCGTTAAAATTAAACATTAACTAATCCGCTCACTGGTTAACTCTTACTATGTTTGAAGCAACCTAAGTTACCTTGTTCAGATAGATAAAACTAGGGATGGCAACAAGTAATCAGTTAACCGAGTATTCGTTCGAACGTCCGAGTATCAGTTAACAAAATTGATATTCGATTTCTTGGAAAAATATATATTTCCTATTATTATTTTTTGTGATTTAGAAAGATTGGTGTATCTAATTAGTTCAGAAATTCGGAGATGTGCATGGATCTTCATAAATACCCGTTAAATACAATCAAAACATCCTTGCAGAGGTGCGAAAATGATAAATTTAACGAGGCGATCAACAGTTTGACACGCGCACCTGTGTCGCTTATGTCATCCAGTCTCTTATGATATTTAATTACCTTTAATTGTGTAGCCGAAGTAACTGTTTTGAAAACAACAAAGGGCCAATTGCTATCATGAATGTAAGAATAAAGGTAACTAGTATTTAGACCAGGTTTAACTTTTGTTGCCGCCGATGAGTCTATATTATTTCAAAAAGAAAAAAGATATGTTTAAAACTTGATTTTGCATTAATTAAAACCTTCTAATTTAATTATAATTAATTTGTCTCCCGTGCAGTCCTATTTACTATCTACAGAATTCTATGAATTTAAATAGAAAATGAAAGTAGCATGCCGACGGTGTTGATATTGTGTGATAAACTTGAAGATCACTGGCAATCATCCGAGTAACCGAGTACTCGATCGGAAAAATGACTGAGTACTCGAGTATTGATTTTGGTATTCGTTGCCATCCCTAGATAAAACTGTTGACTTAGAAACTATGTATTGAATGTATTATTTTCTCTTTATTTTTTGCAGGAGACACAGCCAGTGAGGAATATCTTCACAAATGTAATACAAAGCAGGCAATCTGCAGATGGTTTGTTTATTTTTCAATGTTTAGACTTAATTTAGGAATGCAGTTTACTCAAATTATTGTGTTTGTATGCTGATTTAAGGCGTTTTAAATATTTACCAATATTAAACTCAATTTTTTTACACCCTAATTGATTTTACAGCAGTTTTGTAATTATTGAACGGGTGTTAGCATATCAAGAACCAAACAAGTTTTATTAAATATTTAAGATTTTAGGAATTTTAGTCTACTACTGAACCTTAACCAGGAAGCTAGTGTTGAATTCAATCATGTAGAGTATTAAGTTATTTGCTTGAAATTTCATAACCCACAGTATCTTAAAGACTTCAGTTTATTTACAAAATATACAAACAAGAGGCTAGATGTTCATTGAAAGAAAGAAAAAAGGAAAGAAAAAATATCTCACATATATTTTTTGTTTCAGGAAGTCCATCGTCTGCATCCACCAACTTGATAGATAGAAACATACCAACAGTTGGCACATATAGTCTGGAAAGAATACCAGAATATGCAAGTCATCTCTCCAACAGTGTCTCAGAACAACCTTCTCAACAAATCAGTGATGATATGGTGTTTGGGGAGGAACAGATGACTAATATATTAGCTCGAGCAAGAACGTTTGATGACAGATGGCCACACCGTCATTTGAACCCTGGTGATATGGCCAGGGCTGGCTTCTTTTTCACTGGTAAGTTCCAGAAACATAAATGAAGCTCAGTATATGCTTGATTCATGATGACTTATGATTTAGCCTTTATCATATATACATATAAATTTAATATTTTATAAAATTATTATATTTTTATGAATGGATTGTCTGCTGGATAAGTTTTAATTGATTTATACTTTGACAAAGGAACACAAATGACAAAACTGACATGTTATATTATTCTATTATGACCTTGACCCTTAATTGACCTTGATAGTTAAAGTCAACATATTGAAATATGCCTAAATAATAATAACTTTGTTTTATATTCACATATTTTATTTATACTTGGACAACATAGCTCATGTGACAATTCCAACATGTTGAATTATTCAACTGAAATACTGTTGGGAAAAGGCGTAAAATGAAACAAACAAACAAACTTTCGAGAATTAATAACATCATTTATTGTGCCTTACATAGGGTGACTTTCTGCGCTTATGTTAACGTCACCTCCGACTTTACATTGTTTTTGTTGCTTACATAAATATATGACTGTTGGTCAGTAAAGGGCATTCTGGAAACTACAACGCATTTTGTTTAGTTAATATACACCCCCACAATGACCTTGACCTTTATATTACCTCAACCATAAAAATCAAATGTTTTTAAATTTAGCAAAAGATGTCATAACTTTGTTTTCTACTGACAAATAAGATACATTTTTTGAAGAAATAAAATATTTTGACAGAATTTGAAAAATAAGAAAATGACCATGACCTATAAATGACATAGACTGTCAAGGTCATTCATACCTTCCAAAATAACAGAATTAAAGGCCATGGTCCTTCAGAATGTTGATGACATACTTCTTGTGGGGTTCTAACCGGAGGGGCACTTTTGTTGTCTCCCGCCTTTTCGAAGAAAAAAGGGGGATATAGAAATAGGCTCTGTCTGTCTGTCCATCTGTCCGTCCGTCACACTTTCATGTCCAGTCCATAATTAAAGGTATCTGAAATAACTTGGTACAAATGTTTGTTGTAATAAGACAATGTGTCATGCGCAATTACCAGACCCCTACCTCCAGGGTCAAGGTCGCACTTGCTAATTCAAGGTCAACATTGTCTATTTGAGGGTATATGTTGTGTCCGGACCATAACTTTTTAGCTCAGCTGTCACAAAGTGAGCTTTTGTGATCGCTTTTCATCCTGCGTCCGTCCGTCCGTCATCCGTCCTTCATCCGTCCTTTGTCCGTCCTTCGTCCATAAACTTTCACTTTAAATGACATCTCCTCAAAAACCACTAAGCCAATTTCATCCAAACTTCACAGGAATGTTCCTTTGGTGATCACCTTTGAAAATTGTTCAAAGAATTTAATTCTGTGCAGAACTCTGGTTGCCATGGCAACCAAAAAAAAAACTTTAAATATCTTCTTCTAAAAAACCCAAAGAGCTAGTGCTTAGATATTTGGCATGAAACATCTTCTAGTGAGTGTCTACCAAGTTTGTTCAAATAAAAGCCCTGGGGTCAAAATTGGCCCCGCCCCAAGGGGTCATTGATTTTCCCTATATACATATAGTAAAAACTTAAAAAAACTCTTTAAAATAACCAAAAGAGCTAGAGCTAAGATATTTAGCATGAAACATCTTGTAATGGGTGTCTACCAAGATTGTTCAAATAAAAGCCCTGGGGTTAAAATTGGCCCGGCCCCAGGGGGTCATTGATTTTCCTATATGCATATAGTAAAAACTTAAAAATCTTCTTTTAAAGAACCGTAAGAGCTAGAGCTAAGATATTTAGCATGAAACATGTTCTAATGGATGTTTACCAAGTTTGTTCAAATATTAGCCCTGGGGGTCAAAATTGGCCCTGCCTGAGGGGTCATTGATTTTCTTTATATGTGTATACATAGCAAAAACTTAAAAAATCTTCTTTGAAAAAAACCAAATAGCTAGAGTTTAGATACTAAGCATGAAACATCTTCTAGTGAGTATCTACAGTTTGTTCAAATAAAAGCCCTGGGGTCAAAACTGGCCCCGCCCCAGGGGGTCATTTATTTTCCTTACATGTGTATAGTAAAAACTTAAAAATCTTCTTTGAAAAAACTCAAATAGCTAGAGTTTAGATATTAAGCATGACATCTTCTAGTGAGTATCTACCAAGTTTGTTCAAATAAAAGCCCTGGGGTCAAAATTGGCCCCACCCCGTGGGTCATTGATTTTCCTTATATGCATATAGTAAAAACTTAAAAAATCTTCTTTTAAAGAACTCAAAGAGCTAGAGCTAAGATATTTAGCTTGAAACATGAAACATCTTCTAGTGAGTATCTACAGTTTGTTCAAATAAAAGCCCTGGGGTCAAAACTGGCCCCGCCCCAGGGGGTCATTTATTTTCCTTACATGTGTATAGTAAAAACTTAAAAATCTTCTTTGAAAAAACTCAAATAGCTAGAGTTTAGATATTAAGCATGAAACATTTTCTAGTAAGTGTCTACAAAGATTGTTCAAATAAAAGCCCTGGGGTCAAAACTGGCCCTGCCCCAGGGGTGTCATTGTTTTTAACTATATGTGTAAAGAAAAAACTTAAAAAATCTTCTTTTAAAAAACCCAACGAGCTAGACCTTAGATGTTTAGCATGAAACATCTTCTAATGGGTGTCTACCAAGTTTGTTCAAATAAAAGCCCTGGGGTTTAAACTGGCCCGGCTACGGGGGCCTATATACAGGTGAGCGACTTCCCCGTCTGTAGATTTTCCACAGTCTTTCTGGAAAAACTCTGGAAAATAACTGATTTTCCATGAATTTTCATGGAAACAAGCTTTTTTCCACAGTATTTACAGAGTACTCTGGAACAATTTTCATGGAGAACTCTGGAACTTGACTTTTTCATCAAAGAAAAAAACATGAAACAGTTCTGGAAACTCTGGAAAGTTAACACTTAGACAATTTTCAAGGAGTTTTACTCTGGAAAACACTTAGTCATTTTTGAGAAAGTTTTGGACTTAGGAAGTTTTCATTTTATTTCTGCATTTACATATACTTCACTTAATACATTTAACTTTAATATTTTTTCCTAAGTAGGCATAAATAATCTTTTTAATACAAGACAGTTTTCTGGTTTTAAGACATAATGAAAATAAAGACAATTTAGAATATGGCATTGACACAATTGTAAATTGTTGAAACAGCAAGAACAAAATTAATGAATTTAATTACTTAGCATTGAGATTCAGGTCATACATGTGTACTCATTGTAATTAAAAGTAGCAGTTAGCAAAATAAACACTTATAGTTAAACAAAATGAAACCGTAATAAGCCCCTCAAGAGCTCAACTGTTTCTTTTTTTATTGCAAAAATTGAAAATGCATTAAGGTATTTTTTCATTTAACTCTCATTATTTTCAAGGTATCTCATATCAAGCCTCAGATCTGAGTGGTTCATTATTATATATTACCCTTAGTTGGAAAAAATAAATACACAATTAAAGAGAAACAAGTTAAATTTAAGAACAAATGTAATTGTTATGCACTTATGTTTCTTTATTAAGTGATGATAAATTTATTATGTATCTCTATTGAAGTATATATTTTATCTATATATTCATCCTGTGTAGAAGTAACTTATGTATAGTGATTAATTTCTGGAACATTCAAATCAGCATCAGCCACAATGTAAATATTTATGACCCCTCAAGTGGAAGCCACTGTTTTCATAAACACCAAAGTTAAACTCTCCTATCTGATATAAGAGAATAGAAAGAGGTAAAGCAGGTTTACAACATACTATATTACACTGTAGTTCCCAAGTAACTTAATACCCTTGCAGAACAAATCACAGGTCAGTTTACAACATACTATATTACACTGTAGTTCCCAAGTAACTTAATACCCTTGCAGAACAAATCACAGGTCAGAACACTCCTTGCAGGCGGGTCATTTGAACAGAAGCATTGAAAGATAATGTTTATAAGTGCCTAACTGCTTAAAAGTTATAACTTGAAATATTATGTTTGAGCATTGGATATTAGATCAAATGAGTTTAAACTGGACAAATTTACAAAAGTTTTCTGGAAATATGAATTTTTAAACATGTGTATTTCGTGATTCAGTTAAAATGGAGGGAACTACATGTATATCATTGTATATATAACCATTTCTAACAGTAAGTACAAATGTATTTTTATTTTTTAACACTTATTATTTTAGTTTTTTCAAATTTTCTTTGCAAGTATACACTGTTTTAGTGATTGTATTTCTACATACATGTATCTTTTCAATATTAATAGTTAAGAAAATCTTTTACATTTTTAAATAATGGCGGGAAATTTTAAATCAGAGATTATAATTTTCCATTCAAAATATTTGTGATTGAAACAGATTCCATATCAAGCAATGAATTTCCAAATTCACATTTAATAAAATTCATATGCCTTAATTGTAATTTCTTGTTACTCATGTACATATGTTTATTTTTTCAACATATTAGGTTGCAAAACTTTCAAGTCTTGGAGTCACATGAGATGTTTCCTCTCAAAGGATATCAGATGAGGGAAAAGTGATAAACGTACTTGTTGAATACAGAATGCTTACAGAACTATCCTGGTAATAATTTAGTTTGTTTTTGTTGAAAAAAGTCGAAGTAACATGTTTTTCATATAAATGCATGCTATTTTCCAAACACTGAACAAAATGTTGTTATTCATGTTTTATGCATATATTATTGTTATACTGACTCCACTGAACACATCTCTATTCTGACTCCACTGAACACATCTCAAACTTTCAGTGGTAATTAAGTACTTGTGAAGATCATTGAGTAATTTAAACTGCCATTACATAAAGTTGTCATTACATAGATATAGGAAAAGCAGGGAAATAATTGACACAAGTTTATCATAATGTTGATTTTGACCAAAAAAATTAATTTTCATCAAAGCATGGTATTTACTTGACAACTCTGTGCTGATATTCTGCAAAAATCATTGAATTGAAAGTTTTCCATCTTAACTTTTTTTTCACCCTTTCATGTTTTTTATCAATCCTGTTTAAACAATACTAATTATATTGACATTGTGCATA